TACTCCCTTATAGTTTTATTCAAAAACACATGGTCCTCTTTAGGGTTAGAAATACACACATAATCTCCTTATATTTTGGGATGAAGGGCAAAGTTTAACTCTGTTAATGATAATGGAAAAAAGTCAATATTACCCTTTGTTTTTTTCCTTAATTTTCTTATCTATGCTACTATTAGAAAAAACTACAACTATTATAAAAAACAACAATGATATAGAGCTTTAATATTTGAACTCTAAAAGTGTTCTACTAGGGGTGAGCATAGTTCGGATTGGACTGGATTGGGGTAAAACCAGGACCAATCCGTTATCTACGGTTCCTGAAAAATTGGAACCAATCCAATCCGTTTAAATCATGGAATCAATCCGAACCAATCCATTTAAATACGGATTGGATCGGTTTAGGACCACGGATTCATATAATTAAATAACAAAAAAATATATATAACACTTTAATTTCATAAAAATATAAACATAGCGCTATATTAGTTCTACAATAGCAATATCTATTTCTATAACAGCGACATATTGTGCTAGAATTTAAACAATCCTGAGAAAACTGGTTTCACCATAAGTATTTAGACCATTACAAATTAATATTAAAAACTAACAAACAAAAGTAATAAAAGAAGATATTATACGGTTTTAGGTTTGAGTTTAGATTTTATATAGAATAAGAAAAGATACTATGGGGAAGGATGTATAATAAAAATATCTACTATTTGTATACGGTCCGGATCGGTTCCAATCCGGAATCGTGGGGTTCAATCCGGAACCAATCCGTGTACTACGGATTTTTAATTTTTCAATCCGAAACCGAACCACGGATTCAAAAAACCAATCCAAACCTATCGGATTGGACTGGACTGGATCGGATTACGGATTTCAAGGATTCCTTACTCAGCCCTAAGTTCTACACATGTGGGATGGAGAAAAGAAAAACACACACACACATCACATCACATCACATCACATCAGAAGTGGACCCTACCCATTTAGAGTTTCCCTAGAGCTTTCTTTTTTGAGCTCTCAATCTATATTCTTTCTCTAAAATTAACAATGATAGAGAGTTCTAATTTTAGAGTTCTAAGACCATCTCTAACGGTTTATCAAACTTTGCATTAGATTTGAAATTTGGTGAAAAAGTCACTTTTTGGAGCTCCAAGGTTTCACCAAATTGGTATCAAAATGAGAATGGAACAAAAAATTCATCAAAGTGAGAACATACTCCAGATTTCACCATGTTACTATGTGTTACCGTTGGGGTGGGCCAACCAGTCGACCAACCGGTTGTCTGGCCGGTTGACCGGGGTCAACCGGTTCCCTTCCAAATAGGTAGGTTCAAACTGGTCAAAAAAGATTCGAACAGGTAAAAAAAAAAAAAAATTTGCCCTTACCGGTCGACCAACCGGTCGACCCTTCTCTTTTGATGCACGGTTGGAGTAAGACATATCAGATTGAAAAAATTGATTTTTTTTACTCAAATTTAATGAAAAAATTGGTTCACCGTTAGAGATGCTCTAAAGAGAGTTTTAGTGATATGACAAGAGAAAAAAAAAAAAAAAAAACACAAAAACATAGCATCACATATAGGTCTCACTCTTTACCACATTACTGAAACTCTCTTTAAAATTTCAAAATTAAAACTCTCAGGGTATGTTTGGTTTGTGCTTGAGAGATGTGTTTTAGAGATAAAAAGTATGAAAAGTTGTTTGGTTTGGTTTTTTTCAAAAGATGTTTTGAAAAATTATTTTGAGAGAGAATTTTGAAAAAAGTGATTGATTTGATGTATGTGAGAGAGAGATTTGTTTGGTAAACTTATTTGGTTTACAAGTTTTGAGAAATTTTTTTGGAAAAATTTGTTTGGTTTGATTACTTTTAAAAACTTATTTGTAGAGAAAATTTTCCAAAAAATTTTTAGAAATACAAACCAAACGAACCCTCTATCTTTATTCCTCTAAAATTAGACTAGCGTACCTCCTCATCTACAGCTGCAGCACCAACACTAGCACCAAGGGGCCAATTTCCCAGCACTCATGGTAGCATTCCAATCCCTCGACATTTTTCCCTCTCACCTTCACCCAAGACAGCTACTCCAAAAATAATAATTTCTTTTGAAGAATTTAGTTTTTTTTAATAGTACAGTTATTATATTTTAAAAACATTAATTTTTTAAAATTACTTTTTAATAGTATATTTTTTTATGAATATCAATTATCATAATTATATATTTTTATTATTAATGAATTAAAAAAGAATAAAATAATAAATTCATATTATTTTATTATTTAATTTTTAAAAAGAAATTAATATTTTAAAATAAAATAAAATAAAATAAAAAAATAAATATTTTAAAACGGAGGGAGTACATTTCTATCCCAGACAACACGTTCAACAGCTAAGATGGGTTTGCTTCACAAGGCCATTGTACTCTCTTTTTCAAGGCCATTGTCATCTCTTTATTTATTTATTTATTTTCCGGCCACTGGATCAAATATTAAGTCGCTTTTAGAAAATTTAACTGTTTTTTTATGAGTATAATTATTGTATGGGTAAATTATACTGCAATAATGATACAGACCATTAAAACATCACCACTAACATCACCACTAATGATGTGGCAAGCCAAAAAAAAGAAAAAAAACTAAGACACAAACACATGTGGCAGTGCCACATCCCTAGTGCAACCACTAATTAGTGGTCTGCATCATTTTTCATTATACTGACACTCCTGAGTTTTATATATATTATAATTTTTTCTTTCACTTTTTAAAAATTATATCTCCTCCTTGAAATTTAAAGTTTCATTACAGATTCCCTCTCAGCCTTTTTAATTTTTTTAAATACCAATCACCTTGCTTGTTTCCACTTTTCAAAAAAGACTTTTCAAAAAATTTTACTTTTTTATTTTCCGTTTTTTTTTTTGTTTTTACTGAATTTTTTTAATATTTTAAATAATTTTTTTACTTTTTAAACACACCTAACATAAATGCACCTAAAAAGTAAAAAAATTGTAAATTCTTTTAAAAAAAATTCACTAAATACCAAAAATATAAAAAAATTACAAGAATTCAGTACATTTTTTGTATTTTTATGTATTTATTAATTTTTTAAAACATTTTTTCACAAAATTTTTACTTTTAGATACATCTAAGTAAGGTGCATCTAAAAAAATAAAAAAATATTTAAAATTTAAAAATATTCACTAAAAACAAAAAAAAAAAGAAAACCAAAAAAGTAAGTTTTCAAAAAACTTAATCCAGAAAACTCAAACCAAACACACTGAATTTTACTCTCATTGGATAAATTACATTGACATCTGTAAAATTGGTATTTAAAAAAATTAAAAGGGCTAAGAAGGAAATCTGTAATGAAACTTTAAATCTCAGAGAGGGAGATGTAATTTCCAAAATGTAAGGAAAAACTGTAATAAACATAAATCTCAGGAGGTAATTTACCCTTATTGTATTTTAAAAATATTAATTTTTCAAAATTACCTTTTAATAGTACAATTATTACAATTTAAACAATATTAATTGGACAAAATAAAAATTTTATATTATTTTAGTCATGAATTTTTTTAAAAAATTAATATTTTAAGATAATAAAAAATAAATTAAGAAATTAATATTTTAAGATGGTTAAAATATTAATGTCGTAAAGTTATTTTGCTATTTGCATTTTGAGGCCTTGAGTGAAATAGTTTCATTGGAGCATGCTTTCAGGTTTCAACCATTTTGAAACCATGGGCTCTTTCAGGATGCTTAACTCAACCCACATGAAAGAATAAAAAAAAAAAAATGTTTCAAATAATGAATTAGAAATCAACCACTTAGCTATACAGATTAGAAACTTTATTTCACGTTTGTCATAAACAATGCTCTGTTTAGGAAGAGCTGAACCGAGTTTTTTTTAGGTATTTTAATCATAAAAAATAAAATAGATTATTTTAGTCATAAAAAATAGAACATCATATTCAACCCATAATTATTACACTCTTCTTTGATAAAAAAATTAAAAAGTCAAAAAGCTCTTTCCAAACTAAACTTTTTATTCCATACTAAAATAACCAAAAAAATTAAAAAAAGTCAAAAAATCAAACACTTAGCAAACGACACCTTTGTCATAAACAATGCTCTGTTTAGGAAGAGCTGAACCGAGTTTTTTTTAGGTATTTTAATCATAAAAAATAAAATAGATTATTTTAGTCATAAAAAATAGAACATCATATTCAACCCATAATTATTACACTCTTCTTTGATAAAAAAATTAAAAAGTCAAAAAACTTTTTCCAAACTAAACTTTTTATTCCATACTAAAATAACCAAAAAAATTAAAAAAAAGTCAAAAAATCAAACACTTAGCAAACGACACCAATATTTATCCACTTTTCAAAACCCCAAGTTTTCATATACCCCCGAGATTTTTTTTTTTTGTTTCCCAGTAGTTGCATACAAAATTCACAAATGGAATGACTCAAATTGTATGATTAGTATTCTTTACACAAATACAAAGTTGTACGTGAATTAATTTATTGGGTTCAATTTGTTTTAAGTTGAGATCAAGATTGGACCCGTCTAATCCGATCCATGGAGTCCATTTTTTGGGCCTGTTTTGATAATTTGAACCGTTCAATGTGTAAAACCCGTCAAGTACTATATTTGTAAAAAATCACATTGATCGAATATTAATAGCTATTTGATCAAATCAGTTTTGTATAAAAAAAAAATAGACAGTGAAAAACTAACGGTTAATAAAAAACTATTTTGTTCATATAGCTATTGATATCCGATTAACGTGATTTTTTACAGACATATAATACTCGACAAGTTCTACACATTAAACGGTTCAGATTATCAAAACGAGACCTGTAGTGAACTTTCACGGACTCAACAGCACGGTTCAATCCAATTTTGGACTTGAGCAAAATCATTGCCTAATTTATTTTCCCCTTTCAACTTTTTGGCAGTAACGTGAATTTCATATTCAAGTACAAATAAAAATCACAATAAAAAACAAAACTATTTAAAAAAAAAAAAAAACAAAACAAAACAAAAAAAAACAAAAAAAAATACAAACCAACAAAGATCTGAAAAATACCATACGCGAACATACGTCATACATGTAAGTATATATATATACAAAAATGCTAGAGGCCCCAAAAATTCTACCAAAAATTTTACCAAATGTCTCACATGGATGTAAAACTTTTGGTAAAACTTTTGGTAGAATATTTGGAGTCTCTAGCATTACTCATATATATATATATATATATATTCAAAAGTCAACCGTTGATCATCTGATCATCAATGCATCGCGAGATGGAATTTATCAAGAACGGCCTGGATGTTCGCGAGAATTACTAAGCTGTTACTCATGTACTCTTTGGAATTCTGCACCTTACCTCTGACTTCATCACCAACCGTCGATCCCGTCTCATCCAACCCATCCAAACACGTATCCTGATTGGTCATCGCCGCACTCACCCACGTCTTCATATCTCCGATCTTCGCCTCCGTCAACACCTTCTCTCCGGGACCCACATCCATCAACTCGACCGATTTATTGAGTTGACTCAGCGCATCATCGAACAGACTCACACAGTCCTTCAAGGCAGAGACAGATCGATCGTCGTTGGATTTGGATATGAGGGTTTTGGGGAGAGAGTTGAGATCGGTGAGTTCTTTGGCGGCGACTCGGAGAGAGAGGTTGAGAATGAGTTCGGGATCGGCTTTGGGGAGACGACAAGGGGAGTGATTGTCGAAGGAGGAAATGGAGGAGAAGCATGAGTTGGGGTGCTGAGTCACCGAACAGACGGCTTTGATTGAGTCGACGGCGTTGTTGTTGGAGAGAGATGATGATGATGACGACTCGGTTGACTCGGTGGTGGACTCGTGGATGATCAGAAGTCCTAACATTGCTCCGATGATCACCGTTAAAAGGATGATGAGAGAGATGACGACGGCGGTGAGAGGCTTTCTGGTGGGTTTGAGTGGTGGTGGTGGTGATTGATCTTCTGAGGGGTTTGAGACTTTGCCATAGCCTTTGATGAGATTGATTGTATCCATACTATTCTTCTCTCTGTGAGATTGGGTTTTTTTGGAATGGCTCTGAACCTGTCTGCGAAGTTTGATATATTCTTGTCAATAGTTGGTGTTTTAGCAACGAAAGGAATAAGACTATGACATCCAATCTAACATTTTTAATTTATTATTATTATTTTAATAAAATGAAGTTTCATATTTTATTTTACTTTTGAAATGATTGACCAAGTTTAGGATGATATAACATTGGGCTTTTTTTTTTTTTTTTTTTTTATTTTTTATTTTTTATTTTAATGATTGACCAAGTTGAGGATGACATATAACATTGGGCAAATTCGACCAGAATTGGTGTAACACCATGTTTATAACATTATTGTTAAATTTGGATGGTTGGCTTCAGTGTCCAAAAATTAAAAATTTTAAATTCATAACATTTGGTTAATCTATTTTTTTTTATTTATAAATAACTCATTAAAATTTTTAAAATAAATAGTTAAGATCATCTCGATAAGATTGAATGATTTACTAAAATAAATACTTCCTCTGTCTTAAAATATTAATCCCTTATTCCATTTTTTATTGTCCTAAAATATTAGTCTCTCTTCAAAAATCAAGTACAAAAATAATGTAAATTTCTTATTTTGCCCTTCTTTTAAATTAATAAGCAATATAAAAAGTACAATTATGATATTAATATTCTCAAAAAATGTACTATCAAAACGGTAATTTTGAAAAATTAACTTTTTTCAAATACAATAATTATACTATCAAAAAAAGTTAAATTCTCTAAAAAAGACCATTATTTTGGGACGGAAGAAGTAATAGATCTGACATGATGGTTTGGGATTAGTTCTTTTAACTTTTTATAGTCTGAAGTGAATTTTTGCTAAAAAAATTTCAAAAACTCTGCGCTTTTAGCAAAAAAAAAAAAAAAATGCACTTTTAGCAAAAAAAAAAAAAAAAAGACAAATTACATGTATCTCTCTTGAGGTTTGGTTAAATTATAGATACCTCTTGAGGTTTTAAAATTTATAGATACTCCCCTGAGGTTTATATTTTCATAACAAATTGTCCCTTGAGATTTATATTTTTATAACAATTTACTTCCTAATTTGTTATGCAAATATAACCTTCAGGGAGTATCTATAATTTCTCAAACCTCATAGGGGTATCTGTAATTTTGCTAAACTTCGAGGGGTACATGTAATTTGCCCCCCCAAAAAAAATATTTTTTTGATATTGTTTTATGTTGTGTTTGGTTATGAAATTTGGGGAGAGATTTGAAAATGAAAAGAAAAAAAATGTGTAAAACTAGGTGAAATGTAGTTATATTTTATTTTTTTTAAAATTTTTAAATATATATATTACTTTTAAATCTTTCTAGGCCAAAAAAATTTGACACAATTTTTTAAAAATTCACTAGTTTTTTTAAAAAAAAATTAAATGTGACTTTTTTACTGGATCTAAACCACACCAACATGTACCCAAAATCCGTCCCACCAAAAAACATAATAAGAAGAAGAGAGTAATATTATCATAATGTATTAATAATTCATTAGGATCTCCCTTTTCAAGTTTTTCTTAGAAATGAATTGATGGCATATCATATAACAGTTAGTGCGGAGCCAAAAAATTAAATTAGAGGGGACACTTATTAATTACGATATCGAAAATTTTTACAAAAATATTTCAACAAGTTTTTACCATTGATTTCGAGAATAATAAAAAAAATAATGTTATTTGAAACTAGTGTATCATGGACAATATAAAAAAAATATTGATATAAGTCTTAAAATAAATTATATAGGGTTCATTTGGGAAATGAGTTGGTTTTTTAGCTTTTTGACTATTTTAGTCTAGGGCTAAAAAGCATCTTTTGAGAAAGACTTTTTGAATTTTTGTGAGAAAAAGAATGTAATGATTATGGATTAGATGTGATATTTTGTCTTATTAGGTTAAAAAACTTATTTTGTCTTTTTGTAACTATTTTAGCCAAAAAAATCCAACCTCAACTTCCCAAACAGAGGCATAATGATAAATTATTTTTTTATACAAAATTTTATTAAGAATTCAATATAATGGTAATACTACGTCATCATTAGTATGCGATATCACTCACTAATAGTAAATAAATATATAGAGATGAATCTCACATGTCAAATGTAACTAATAATCTAATAAATTTCATATCTTTACAGTGAGATTAATTATACTTACATGTCATTAATAATGGCATTATCGTTACATTTAAAAAATTTCATAGATAATATGATTTATTGCAGTCTCTATATTTTCAATTAAAACAATTATTATTGTTCTCATAATTTTTAAAATGTCGTTGATATTTTACTCTAATAATATTTTTATAATTTTTTTATTTAAAATATCTTCTTTTTGTTTGTAATAAAAAAAAAATTCTCAAAATCCAGAAGGGGCATGTGACCCGCCTGGTCCTATACTCCCTCCGCCACGCCACTGATAATAGTTAAAATTTAAATTTAATATATGATCTTTATTAGTAATGCAATATATATTTCTTTTAAAAATTTATTAATGACAATCATAAATGTTGTCAATAAAAATTATATGTAGTCAAAATACTTATAATCTTAATACACTTTCATATATTTCAAAACACATTTATATATTTTTATTCATTGTTTACATATTTGTTAAAAATATAAAATCGCCAAAAGATTACTCTAAAAGAAAAATAAAAATAAATTTATGTATAAAATAGATAGGTAGTAGGTAAGTCTTGGCTTTTGGAAATGAAAAGTAACAATAAATAGTTGGTAAGCATTTATCATCATTGTAAATTAGGCGGGAGTTGTGACATGCCTCCTATTCTAACCATTTACTTTACTTTTTATAGTTTAGTTCATATGCTATTTATCTTTTTAATATTTGAAAATTATTATATAATTTTATAGATTAAAGTGTATCATTAAATATTTTATTTAATTTAACAATAAATGTGAAACATGTGATAGATATAAAGGGGATTATATATTCATTTTTAAATTTTAAAGAGATAAATTATACATGGAATAAAACACAAGAAATTAAAGTGTATTCCAAGCAAATGACTGAAAGGGTAAATTATGAGTTAATTATACTTCCTATCTCTATAATTTCATTGAAAATTCATTTTAGTTCTTACATTTTTAAATGTGAGAGTCAACTATTACATTTTAAGTAAAGGTGCCATTTATCTTTTTCTTTATCTAATGTTAACCAGGCTAACAAAATTTAAAAATAGAGAGATTTGAAGTGAGATTTTAATAAAAGTGTAAGGATTAAAAATGATATTTTAATAAAAAAAAATGTAAGGGTAATAATGACAAGATAAAAATGTGACATATGAGTCATATGATCAGTTTCATCAATCCTATTAATGTTAGATGATGAAAAGGTGTTATTGCAACATGATTTAAAGTGTAAGAGATACAAGGATATTTTAGGGTTTGTTTAGGATGTGGGTTGACTTTGTATCTTTTGATTATTTTAGTTTGAGGCTAAAAGTTTCGTTTGGAATATATTTTTTTGACTTTTTTAACTTTTGTAAGAGAAAAAATGAAATAATTATAGACTGAATGTGATATTTTGTCATATTTAGCTAAAATAACTTATTTTGTCCTATATAATTATTTTAGTCCAAACACTCATCCTAAATGAGACATTAGTCTTTTTTATTAAATCGTTAACAGACCTAACGGTGCATTTCAGTTTACAAACCATAAAGGATTATGTGATTATTTTCAAATATTAATGAGGTAAACCACACATAATCCAAATCTTAGGGAAGTAAAATGAAATTGGCCCTTTTTTTTTTAAAGATATATAAGTAAATAAAAACAATCCAAGCTTCTTACACGCATCGTTAAATGGTTTCTGACCAAGAAAATGTATTTGAAGTGGTGAACCCAAATTTTTTATTTAAAGGACCTGTTCCTCTTGCATATGAATTTAAAAAATTTATATACAATCTTTGGCTGTCCCATTTTTAATTATAACACAATTTAATGGGTCTAATTAAAATGTCATGTCAACAAGTTAACTACATCATTGTGTATATGTATTGCATATTTTTAATACTCGCATAACACGACTTTGCATCAAAGCTTCCATATTTTTTATGGGTAAGATTTCTTTCAAATTTAAATTTAAATATGATTGTTATGTTTCAGTTGGTAGAGCCCATCACAGGAATTATTTTAATAATTTAAAACGTTCATTTTATAGGGTTATTCATGTATAATGTTTATGAAAAAATTAATCTTTTTTCATTTTGTTGAGTTTGTGTCCGAAAAAATAAACAACTATGTTTTTGAAAAGATTATTATTATTAAATCAACCTATATATATATATATATATATTCATAAATGATATGCACAGAAGACTATAAAATGAATAGCTTAAATAATTGAAACGAAACTTGTAGTGACCTCTACGAGTCCAAACATTATGAGCCATATTCAAGTTTAAACTTTAGAGGAATCATTTTATTTACTTATTTGTTTAGTGTGGCTCAACAAGATCTGGTCTTAATTAAGACTTGTACCAAAAACCTAGGGCAATTTTGCATCTATTAGAGCATCAACAGCAGAATCACTATATCACCAATTTTGCTATTCTAGCTAGCTTCAAGTTCCAAAATGAGTCTCCAACCGTCTCACCGGAGGCTTGCTAAAATGATTTTGGGCCATAGTAGCTCGTCAAATGAGACAAAGCACTGTGCACTAGCCTCATAATTTTATTATATTTTTTTCGTTCCATGTGTGCTGGTTAGGCACAACAATGACCCAAGGCAGACAAGGCCGCCGCCTTGGGCCCTCTAATTTTTATGAAATTCAAGAGCCCCAACAGAGTTTTAGGCAATGTAATATTAGTACCAGTCCAAAACTAAAGGCCCAGTCCAATATTCTTTAACTTCACAGAACAGATAAAACAAAAGGCTCCAAAACAATTTTTGGGGTTCAAATTTAAATTATAAAATGTAATGGGTAAAATTTGCAAGTAAAAGATCTTTATCACTTGACTCTCATGCCTCGTTTGGCAAGTGACTATTTTAGTCAAAAAGTCAAAAAATTATTAAAAAATTTAAAAA